CTGCAGTTTGAATGACCCATCAAATTACTCTCTTGGTCTGAACAGACAGGCAAACACGTTCACTAGCACTGGTTTACTCATAAAATAGCACCTTACAGCTAATTGATGTGATAGCTATCAATCAGTACATATGATTGCTGCCACAGGTATGCTAACATGCCACTGATATAATGGGTATCTTGTCAAGCACAACATAATAGAATTTATATAGAAAGGGTTCTGCAAAAACTAAAGACCTGCACAAATTATCTTATTCTTCCAAAACTCTTGAGACACCTTTCAGAGTAATTTAATCTATATTTGCAAACTTTCCCATTTAATTCTATTAAAAAAATAGGTAATTCTGTAAGTACCACAGGGTAACTATACAGGGAATATTTTTGTGCTTTGATATTTAAAAAACAAATGAACAAATAAAACCTAAAACCCCACCCACCCACCAAACTCCCCCAAAAAATCAAAAAAACACCACCACCACCTAACGTAATGCTCCATGCTCTGTTATTTGTGTTTTTCACAGGCAAAACCTTCCCTGGAGGGATCCAAGTTACCATAAGACCTAGTTTTCCACCACCCATTATCTGAAATTGCCAGAAGACCAAAGGCTGAAATCTTCTTCTGGACTCTTCCTCAGGTCACTGAGAGGTTTATCGGTGGTATCACTGGAATGAAGATTTCATCATAAATCCTGTGTGACTTTAGGGTGTGTAGATTAATAAAGGCACATCATACTACCTGCAAAATTACAAAGCCTTTACAAGGAACAGCTGAATTCTCTTAGAGACTCTGGACAGATGGCAGGATTGTACTATCACTAAATCAGCTTAGTCAAATACATTATTAGTTCTCCAGCCCAATATTTGCTGCATATTCCTAATCAAATTGCTGAATGAAAATGGCAATGTGCCAAGCTTATAGCAAGTAAACACTAGAAATCCATTTTTTTCCAAGATCGATCTCCTCCTCATGTGCTAGAAAACAAAGCTTCTCTTGAAAAAGCAGCTCATTACAAAACACTATAGATCAAAACATAAATTCTACTTTTTTGTGTGTTCACTATTTAATCAAATGTCTGTTAAGCTGCTTCTTTGTGACTATGAAGTATTTCAGGAAAACCAGGAGGTCAGACTGACTGCCACAGAATCCCCACATCAATGTGAAAGCATAATGGTCTTTCAGGTATCTAAAATAACAGGTCCCTCCTCGGCTGGACGCGCAGCTTCTCTGAGAGATAATTCCATCATCAAGGGATAAGTGCTTCACTCATCAGAACTGCCACATAATGGTCAAACACAAATTAATGCTTGCAAGAAAAGATGCATGATTCTACTTCAGTTTCCAGAAGGCAATTCCAAGTGCTTGCTAATTTTCCCCTTAAAAGCACAAGGAATCAAAAGCATTCATAAAATCACCAAATTTGTAATCAAGCATTCACAGAGAAATTTATTTCTTCAGTACATAATCAAAACTTATTTTGATGGAAGTCACACTCAGTCATATTTTTCTAGGAGAAACGATTCTCAAACATTTTTGCCTGTCCTCTGTTCAGTGCCATTTCTTCTCCCTTGTCACCCTAAGGTTAATGCTCAGGAAGGAGAACAAAGTGATTATTACTGTGCACGACAAGGATTGTTTGCTGCAGCAATTACTCCTCAATCAGAATGTTACTTTTGTTTACACTCAACACGGATAAAAATATGAACCCTAGATATTAGCATATGCTAAATACACATTTTACACTGCTTGACTTATGAGCAGGTAACACACTTTAATATAGGTGTGGCATTATGAAACCTCTTTTGAAATTCTAACATTCTGTGCTATTAAATACATGTTCTTATTTTCATCTGCATGAGAGAAGTGGTTGATTTTATTCACATCAATACACTGAACTAATAGGTATATTCTCATTTGTATCGAAGCAAACACTGTATTCTTATAACCTATATATTTATTTCCCTGAATGATTATCTGAAATACAGTCAATGTTTCAAGTTCCCAATTAAAAGGTTAAAAAAATTATCTCCACAGACAAGTACCATAATTTTTACTGTATGTTGAGATTTTTAATCTGACAGTTCATGAACAGAATTTGCATAGAGAGCAGACAAAGTCTCCCTAAAACACTTCTACAATTGATTCCCTTAGTGGTTTGACATGAACTGAATAGTGTTGAACAATTTATGCACCATTGTTTGGGACAGGCTCTTTAACTCCTTTCCAACTCCTTAATAAATGTGAGAAACTGCGTGTATCTTTATGTTAGCATACATACTGGTTAACTGCATTAATCATACACAACAGACCTGTGCTCAGTTAGGTGGGTCTTTTCAAATACAGGCAATTAAACCCTCCTACATATGAATCACTTTGCATTCACAGAATACTTTCTATATGAGCACTAAATATTTACAAACGAGGCTGGCATATTTTATATAATCTTCACCACCTCGGCTGAGATGACTAAGGAGAGCTATCATTATGTACATAACAGAGTTACAGGCAGGTGCAGATTAAATAGGGTCACCTTATTCCTTATTCCCATCTTCCCATTATGGCTATGGCACCTGGACTCTGAACTTGACACACCACTCACATTGCTAGCTTGAAATAAAAGGCATGTCAATTCAGGACAGTTTACAGGATGTTTTGCAAAAAAGTTATGATTGTTATTAGTTAAGATTTTATGAAGTTTCCCACATACTCTAGTATGTTCAATCAGGCCATACTCTCTTACACAGGAATCACAAAAGTGAGATGAGCTGTCTCTGCTGAACTCCTAGTTCTGAAAAACACAAACATCATCAAGTCTAATGCTGCAACCCCAAAGGAATTTTGGAAAGGAAAAAGCCACTGACTCCTTCATAGACTCCTTCAAAATGACAGAGATAAAGAGAAGAGTCAATATGCTAATAGTCACAGTCTCTTATTAGAGACATTTTAAAATGAAGCCTCTGTCTCATGGGAAATTGTAATCTGATTTTCTTTTCAACTATCAACAAAAAATATTTTTGAAACATCAAAATTAAAGAACTCTTTTCCCATGGAAGATGAAGTATAACATATTCAGCTGACTCTTACTAGACATTTTCATTTGAAGCAAAAGCACTTTTACCTTCCCAAAATGAAGTATTTTATGTTTTGCTAAAAATATTTTAACAGGGATTTATTATCTGCATTTTTAGTGTTAGGGTCTTTCATTACCTTCCATTTAAAAGACACAAAGCAAAATTGTAATGATATTTAGTATGCAAAGCAGATGACACAATAGATTATAATTTGTAAATAAGGCACTAGATTTGTGAACTGAGATTTTACAAATGCTGAAACAAAACCAGGATGCATTTCCTTAAACTGAACCACACAAAGAAATAAAACGCACCTACTTCCAATTTCTGTACTTGCATGTGTTAAGAATTACTCCTTACACCATATCCTGCAGGAAGTATGTTTTTTGATTTATTATTATTAATAATACTTCCAAAAAACTGGATGGTGTCAGCACTTTACCATTTGTAGTTGTATTAGCTGGCCTTTCAAGGGGACCCCTGGTGGCCTAGTGGTTAGCATGCAGGACTCTCACTGCTGCGACCACGGGTTCGAATCCCAAGTCCCCCGGGCAGATGGTAGCTCGTTAGCCCTGTGAGGCCATCCATCTATGAGAAGGTCACTCTAAACAAACCTACGTCCTGAGGACCTCACTGCCATTGTCCAAGCTTGCTTGGCCCCGGCAGATGAACCTTAGGATTAAAGGGTGGGCTCAGTTCAGCGCAGGCTGTGTCTCACCTAAAAAATCCATTGCGCAGGCTGGAAAGGTAAAAGACCTTTCCCCAAATCTTCGTTCGCGAAGACTGGCCATTATTAGCTGGCCTTTCATTTTGTCTTTAAAGCAGCCATTATCATGCACAGTTTATCTCTGTATAAACCACTCGGTAACAGCAGTTTGTCACCTTTGTATATATTATTGATGAGAAAGCAGACAACCCACCAATTAAGATGCTTCCCTTGTCCCATCTCCAGGCTCAGCCTGAGGTACTGATGGAACAGTTGAAATAAAAACTCAGTTTTACATTTCAAAGAAAGTTCAAAGGCAGTGAGAAAAGGCTACCCTGCAAAGGACACAGAAATTGTATTTATTGCTGGAAAAGTTTATTTAAGGAGTAGACTGTATTATTTATTCTGTATGATAAAAATTATACTGTGACTCCACATCTTGTTCAACTAGACGTTCGACTTAGTTTTTCTTTCAGCCTTTTATTAGATCTATAAATCTGACAAATCATAGTTTGAACATTCTCTTACAACACAAGTCACAGCTTAGTATCAAAGATACAGTTAAATAATGGCCAAGATATAAATTAAGCAGATTTAAATGGATTTGTATTTCTACTGCTACCCGAGCAAGACATACAACAATGTATCTTGTGCCCCAAAACATTGCCAAGTGATCAATTAAAGAAAATATTAAAAGTATCTGAAATCAGGATGTCTTTAGATGGACAAACAACCCTGAGATAACTTGTATTCTCGGCTTCCATCCAAATTCTCAGGTTGTCAGTAATCACCAAGCCATTCCATAAACACTAAGTATTTATTCCATGGCCTATTAGTCCTTTCTAAAGTAAGTAAAACAGGAGAATTTATCCAACAGAAGTTATCTAAATGAAATATTCTGCTAAAAAAATAGATATTTTTTAAAGAAATTAGTATCAAATGAAATTACATTGGCTGCATAGCATATCTCTCATCTTGTTTTTGAAAAACCACACAGCCTTTCTTTCCTCTGTTCCTGAACATAAGACTAAATATCCCATGTTAAGACACATTTATGCAGCTGACAAAAGTCATTTATGCAGCTGACAAAAGTCATCAATGCAATACACAGTACAACTTTGCAATGGTAACTACACAGGATAAGTGCACCACATCTACACTGTAAGTTAATGGAAAAGAGCTGATCTAGATCAGCACTAGTAGACAACACAAAATATTTCTCTTACCTCCATTTCTGTGCAGTGTAAATGGCCTGATTTACCTGTAACAGAAAGAAAGGTTTTCAGATTAAGTAAAAGATTATGGAAAAAATAAAACTAAAAACCGGAGTCTTTTTTTTTGAGTAATTGCCACATACTCTTTGTCTTACTTGAATCATACATTTCCGTAATGTTATTATTATGAATGCATCACAGAATTAACAACAAGAAGGCCCTACCCTTTTTATTTGGATCCTTCACAATACTCCCTTTTAAAAAGATGTGTCTTTAATGTCTCGGTTCATTATTTAAATTGTATGACTGATGCTTGGCCATGGAGAGAACATGAAAATACACTGGCTTAAATTAAGCAGTAGAAAATAATTATTTCAAGAGAAAAAACAACATTAATTCATAAAGCAGGGAAAAGCCACTGTTTCATCTAATACTTCTGGGATATCAAAGAGTTCAACAACAACATAAAGTTCAAGCCAATTAAAGTTGAAGCATTACTGTACTATTTTTATAAGTCCCTCTTGTCAATTTTTGCATTTCTTCAGCATTCAGGAGCATCACTTTGGAATTTGTATAATACAGAAAAATTAAGTTCCTGAACTGTTTCATCAAATTGAAATCTCAATTTTCCCAAATACAAAACAGTTTCATACAAAAGTGGCTTGACAACTTACAAAAAGACTGAAATTTCACAGCATATTAGGAAACTATCATGTCACTAAAAGCAGCAAGTTTATAATTTTGTATTAATAATACCTATCAAACTACAGTTAAGTAATTCTGACAGGATGATTTTCTGCTGGAAAAATTACATTGAAGAAAGTTAAGTACTCCACAGAAATCTATCCATTTGCAAGGGGACCTACACAAAACCTTAATTTCAAAACATACAGACAGTTGAATTTTACTCTTTTTGTCTTAGCTTTTCGGCTGCATTGCACTAACACTGCTAGTTTAAAATTTGTGACTTTGGGCCCGATGGCACAGACCCCAGAAAATGTGTGGCACAGTCCTGAGTCCTCACATGATCAAAAACCAGAACAGGACGCATTCGCTTGACTGCACGCACTCTGAGAGTGTATGTTCCATGGCATGGTTGCCAAGGATTTACTGCAATAGTTAGGAAAAGTCTGCAGTTTGTAGCCATAACTGGAAGGACTGTTTTATCAGACTGGCTGATGAGCCCAAGGAAGCTCAACCAACTGGTTAGCACAAGGTTTGCACAGAGGAGTGATTATACTGACTCTATGTTATACATGAACACCATGCAAAACACTCGGCACTGAGGGAGAGTCACCTGCACAGACAAAAAGCTTAATTTTTCATACTGAACTGGTCACCTTCCCTTCAAAACTAAAGGTTAAACACATCTTGAATGAATAGGGAACATCCACCTAACAGAGTGAAAGTTGTTTACCTTCCTTTTGAACTGTTGCCAATGTAAGCTGAACGCTTAACTCTGGTGTCTGACTTCAAAACAAAAAGCAGAAGAGTGACTTAAAAAGGCGGCTTTTGCATCACACATTATCCTTTCAAAAGGACTGGTGTCTCTGGTTGATTCACTTTGAGATTCACATAAAATGTTTTTTCTGTTTAAAATGGTAACATTAATGTGATTGTTACAAACTATAAACGGGAGAAAATTACTGAGAATGCTTTTTAACTACCCCTAGAATTATTAGCAGATTTACTAATATTAGGGACTATTTTTGTGAAACTCCAATTACAGATGACCAAAGCAATGTGTCTCCATGATAGAAGATGATATAAGACTAATTCACAGAAATGTAGTCAAGATAGGAAAAAAAAAAAAAGCACATGCTGCCTTTTTTGGATAAAGGTGTTCCTTATTTCATATATGCTACTTTCAAAATTTACTATTGCTTTCAGAGCAAACCATGACTCATTTTTTGTTTTATTATAAAAATACAGGGAACACTAAACTTAATTATTTATTCCTATTTATACCAACATTTTAAAAAACAATCGTATTGTCATGATTGCATGTGCTGTGGCAGGAAGGGGAAATAACAAGTAGTTTAAGCCTCACACCAGTTCAAATGCACCGCAGACAGTATTCTAGACAGGTGCAAACTACTAAGTGACTTACAACATTATAATATATGCTGTGTTATGGTAATTATTAACTATACCATTCCATATGCCTCTGTACACCCTGAGTCCAGCTATATACTTAGCAGATTTCCCCAAGGTGTTTGCAGTGACTTGTGGACACCCTCCATCAAGCATTTACTACATTTCAGAAGAGATCATTAACAATACTGTTAATGTACTTACATACATCTATCAAGATTGAAATTAATTAGCTTTCATATGGCCCCTACAAACCAATTTACTTAAACTGGCTTTATTTATACTGGCTGGGGTAGAAATTTCTTCCCTCTTCAGCTGACATGACTGAAAAAGCAGAAACTCATAAATGTAGCCTAAGGGTCACACCTTCTTCATTTGCACTGCAAGAAGAAAAATCCCTATAAGAAGTCATAGAATAGTCTCTGTCTGCAAGCATTAAGTGCTTCTCTGATAAACAGGTGAAGTCTTGAAAAATTATTTCAGGTGCTGCTTCTTAAGATAAATTCAGACTTCTCCAGACTTCAGAACCATTCAACTAGATATTCACCTGTGTAGCTTTTCCACCACTCTTACTGCCAAAAAAACATTCAACAATAATCTTCCGTGACACTTTCAAATAGCAGCTAATACATTCATTACTAGTAAACAGCATAATTCTAACTGTCAACTTCAGTTTATAAACAAACTACAATTTGGAAGATTATATGATTTTTCACCCTCAGCTTGTTGAAATGCAAAAAGTGAAGTTTTTGCAAGAAGAAAAGTGACTTACATTGGAGGTTTCCTGTATGTCTGAAATTAGTCTTCAGAGAGACACATTTGCCAGGGGGAAAAAAAAAAAAAAGAAAAAAGAAAAAGAAAAGAAATCCCAAACCTTCACAAGCATTTTTGTTCTCAAAAATTTCTATTTGAAAATTATTCTTATATCAAACTCTCAACAAGAGGAGTCATGACAAACTTTCCTCAAGCACTAGGGAACACTGTCTCACCCCTTAGGGCAGGAGCTTCCTGTAATGCTACCGCTGGTAAGAAGCACACATTTAAGACTGAGTTTTGAAAGAAAAATAGATAATTCACTACGTTAGAATGGATCGACACAGAATATTTGTAGGAAGGCATGTGGGATGTGCAAAACCATTTGCAATCCCATCTGAAGAAAAATTAAGGTACAGAGTTGACGTTAGTGATGTGACACCACAATCACATGGTCGCTGTTTCAGCTATAACCAGCTGCTCTAAGAGCCCTGAAGCTCAGAGCATCTCCCTAGCCTTCCTCTAGTGTCTCAGATTCCTCTGCTCAGATCCACAGGCATTTCCTTCAAGAGACCTTCTTGCAGAGTTGAAATTATAAGCACTGATTTTCTAGCAACAGTGTGGCTGATGTATGCACTGGCAACAAACCTGAAACTCATTTTCTGTTAAAGATTAAGATTATAATTAAATGTCAGAGCCCACTTCTGCAGGTTTGGAGTGAAATCAAGCTGCTGTTGCCACAACAGCAGAACCTAAGCGGCAGGAATGACACACACTGCCTGTATGTACTAGAGGTCAGTGGTAAAGGTGGCCAAAGAATGAACATAGGAGCTAACCTAAAGAAAGGGAGCAAGGAAGAACATAAGAGTCACTAACTCAATTTCCTTAAATTGGACAGTCTTCAGTCACTCTCCTAAATTAACAATAAGTTGAATTTGTATTTGCATTCTAGCTTTTACATCTTCAAGAGGCACTGTAGCTACAATAATAAGCTTTTCTCTGCCCTTAAGAGAACAAGGAACTCCTCTAGTGAAAAAAAGTAGTTCAGACTCACATTTTATCATCTGACTGCAGAAACTGGAGTTTTAGCAACTTTGGAGTTACCAAAAACTGGAGAGCTGGCAACTAATCTGAAACTGGTCAGATTAGTTACCAAATCTGACAAGTTCATCAATACAAGAGTCAAGATGAGTACGAATAAAAGGAAAAGGAATGAAAGAAGAAAGCAAAGGTAACCATGCAACACAAGAAAAAGAGAAGAATATGCAAAGAACAGGATTCATAATTAAATGAAGGGAGAGGAAAATATTGATGTAGGAGGAGTGAGCCAGAATTCTGGCTAAGGACGATATTACAAGATAAACTGAGGAGGACAGTGAAAACTTGCATGATAAACAGAAATAGGAAAAAAAGTGACAAAGACAAATATAGGGAAAGTGTAGCTTATGAGTAAGACATCAGGATGCAGGGAAGAAGGTCAAGAAGAGTGAGAACATGAGCAAATGGAAGAAAGCAGACTGGATTAGGAGAGGTAATCAGAGACCCCTCAGAGCAGCAAGCACAGAACCCCATATTTTTAAGAAAAACACTTAGACTTTGAGGAACAACATAACCTTCCTTTAAACTGTAATTAGAAGGCAACGAGAAATGGGATGAGTTTTCAGAGCTTGTGGCTTTTTGGTTGTGACTCATGATTTCTGTATCAGCCTACAGCTGATGACTTAGTAATTATATGGCTCATTTTTCTGCTTGGGAAAGAGAAAGAAACTGTAAAAAATTGTAAGAGAATACAAAGAAAATTCTTAGAGAAGTTTCTAGACCAAAGGCAGTCAGGATTTTCCTTCCCTGTGTCAATCTTTTTTCATGCCTTCATTTTTCTCCATTCAACACTTCACTTAAGTTACTCCTCATTTTGTACAGTCATAGGCAATCCTCTTATAAATTGCTAAGAGGTCTTATGTGTTAATACCCTGTAATTGTAATAAAAATATTTTTTAAATTGCAAATTAACAAATCCATGCTACCTTAGTGCTACCTTCTAATATATAATTAAATAGTGGCTCTTTATCTTGTCTCATTTCTACTCTTCACAAGCCTGGGTTCCACTGCTCACCTTCTTTAGCAAACCTCTAAGCTTCCCTATGGATCACATCAATTTTTGTTACTCTAAGAAAATACTGTGGTAGATCCACATCTCTGA